ATTCGCCCTGAAAAGAGCCATTTATCTCGCTCGTTCCTGCTTACTGAGAACGTGACAAGACAATCGCATTATGTCGCTCTGGTGAGTGACGAGCGACCTTCCCGACGGACGAGTTGCCCCCAGGCCGTTTGATTTTGAGTGCTATAAAGACAGGAAAACTCCATGTCGCCCGTGATGGAGCCTTGTCCCCCTTAAACTGATATGAGTTTCGCTACTCCAGTCGACAAACTGGCGCACACCGAGAATTCGCCGCGAATCACGACACGCCGCGCGCGATGGTGCGACAAATTACGATTGTCTTGTCCGTCTCTCCTCTTTACTTAGAGGGAGTAAAAGAGAGGGTCATATCCTATTAAAAGTCAGTCTAAAAATTCGAATCGAGTATTGCAAGCCCCTAATATCGACGCCTTGGTTACCTTTATGCATTCCATCCAGTCTGTGGCCGGTACTCATGCTAAAAACTGATTAATTGCTTCGGGCTCTGACATTTAGCTCTTCGAACTATGATGATAACTTTATTTTCAGATTTCCCACTGAAAAGCCTGCGAAGACGTCCTATCATCGTTTTCCAGACAAGCATCTAGTCCATCATTTGATCATAATCATTTGTACCCCAACTCCAAAGTACGACTTCTTTTGTTTCTTTTCAGTATTCACTATGTCTGATAGCACATTTCGAAGCAGTCCGGCTTGGTGGGGGGAAGGGGGCTTTTTGAGTTCGCAAGCATCTCTTCACCAGTTCCTGTTACTTACATGTCACCTGGGTAAGGCCTGTAAATCCTTGTCAAGCGTAAGCGAAACTTATGCTATTGCATAGCTTCACAAGAGTTTACAGGTTTATACTAGAGACATGGGTAGTGGTCGATGGGAACCAGTAGAGTGCCCCCACTAAGCCGAATCGCGGTGAATTTCTTAATTTAATTCGACTAAAATGTTATTGTTAGGGTGCTAATAGTTCGTACGGCTCGTCACGGGACAATACAATGGAGAGTACAAGTTTTGATTTTGATAAGTAAGTCCAACAACTGAACTAGTTTTCAGTAGAAACAGGTTACGGGGTTCAATTTTCAGAGATCTCGGTGAATTTTTCAACATGCGTGTCGATGAGGAGGAAGATCCTATACGGCAACGTTTGGGTGGTCTGAAATTGTCTGGTACGTGATTTCAACGGAGCTTATATAGTTTTGAAGGGGTCGCTCTTTTTCGATTATTGCTATCCTAAGGGAAGTACAGAGGGTAGAAAGGTAATGCTTGGAGAGAATACCAGAAGAAAGCGTTTATAGTTCTGGAGTGCTGGCTCTCGGGACTCGCAGTGTTCGTGACTAGCACCAGTTACCTGTGAATTTCGCGGTTTTGGAGTGTGCAGCAGCACGTTTGAGGGTTGAGGGCGTTTATAATTATTTTTATCGAAAAAACTGAAAAAAACCACGCAAAAGGAAAGGTCGAAAAAAACATTCATGACGTTCAAGGCGAATAAACACCCTATACAAGGGGCTTTATTCCTCAGACAGCAAAGTAGTAGCAATTCTGTTGAAGCTGGGAAAAATGCTCATGAATACATCAGTGCACATTTCGAACTCGAAGCCAGATTTTTAGATGTTAGGCCATTATCAAGGAGCGGTTGCCGCTGATTGCTTCTAGTTCTTCTTGATAAAAGACATCTCATAATTGACCCATGGGCAATGGCCAAGACGCAGCGTACACACTGCTCGCCTTGTCAAAAGGTGAGCAGAAAAGTGTTTGTGTTCCTTGGAGCAGTCAATGATCATCGACGAAGGAAACGTGATCCGTCACGGCTTTTACGTCATCGGGTGAAGAAGGTTGCGTGGCAAACACTCAAGTTTTACAAAAAGAAGAAAGATCGGATAGTCGAGATTGTAACGAGCTCAGAGCTCGACCAAATCTGCCCGCTGCCTGTAGTTTTGTAGAGTATTCGAATATCTGAAGAGGCCAAATGGTCGTCGTTGACCTCCTGGGACGTGAATATTGCGGAAGCAGCTGGGCTTTAAAATGTTGTAAGCAGAGTCGAATTGCAATTGATTGATATTATGTGCCTGAGAAAGGGATTAAGATAGGTTCTGCCGCTGGGAGACGAGTGATTAAGATAGGTTCTGCCGTTGGGTAAAAAATTCTTTGCGAATATTGACCCCCCCCCCCCATCGCAAATCTCCTGTTCGACCCCTCCATTTTTCTCTAGTGTCCGCCCTCTCAACATTTTTCGCCTAATCATGCAACATTTTGCGCTTACCCTCTCTTCCTCCAACAAAAAGCGCTAACGAAACGTTGATCGAGCAGTGAAGGGGTGGAAACGATTCAGGGTGAGGGGTAAAAGCCACGAAATGAAGAAAAGCTGGGAAAACCGACAAATATGTGAGCGATCAACGAACACTTCTTTTTTTCGAAGGCAGAACTAAACGACATCCCGGCCTCTCAGAATACGACCCTCTCCGTCTGGGGGCCCAATGCTGCGTGATGTGATTTTCGTGGAGATTTCTGGCAAACTTGGCATCCGCTTGACCCGACCCCCCTCCCCCTTCTACCATACGCTACCTATCGATGAAATTCTAGGTCGTTTATTGCCTTGGCCAACCAAGAGTTCTGTCCCGCAGAGGTGGTCATTGGTACCGGGCTCAGTGAGGAATTCTATCGGATTAATCGAAGACTGTGTGTGGAAAACATCACCTATCTCAAGTGGCGCCCCGCCCATTACCGGATCTGTCTTGCCTACATTTGAAGTTCGTCACCCTTCGTCTGAAACATGATTCCACGGCGCTTTTTGTCGATGGGAGGGGGGGGGGCATTTTGTACTATCATTGCTTCCCTGGTTCCGGTTTGCGAATCTCACTCTGGTAAAACTTGTGAGGACTTTTGTGAGTCTTGGGAGCGAAGATCGGTCTAGCCACCATCCCAAAACGTGTCCACTCAGAAGAGGCTACTAATGATGGGGAAAAACCAATCTATTTTAAAGGCAAATGCCCCGTCGAGAAAACTTTGCACCATTTCCACTTTCACGCATCTCGCGGCTCACTGAGACCGAAACAATAATTTTTTTAGTGCGGACTATTTCTGGCGGATGCCCGCCACTCTGGGGCGGCGGCTGGTCAATAGATGTCAAGTGTTGTCTCACATTTCGTTCCATGCCTAACCATCCTCACAGTTTACCGCGACCTCTCCAAGGTGTTATTCTGATCGGAATTTGAATTTTCGTATTCAGAATTAACACTAAAGAGAAGCAAAGGCATAATTATTTCATAGGGAGTGTTATTCCCAAAACAGAGAGAGTTTATTGATAAGCGGGAGAAGAACCGAGCAGTTTAGTTCATGTAAATGCGTTGGTTTTGTATATGCGTTGTGGTTCATTGATAGGCTTGTTTTTGGTCCAGGGATAAAATTGGCAGAGCACTGATATGTATATTTCACCATGAAGATCCATAGGAAAATAACTTGTTTCTTTTCTGCAGATAATTCTGAAGCTTGCGTGACTGGATTGTACGAACTTAGATGGCTATTGAGAATGTATGAAGTGTTCCAAGAGCCTCTGGCGGAAGCCTAGATGAGGGCCAAAGTGAAAGAGAAAATTTTCTCTGGAATTATGAATGGCAGTTGCCTTGGTGCGAACGATATAACAAGAAAGAAACTGTGCTTCGTGTGTGAGAATTCCTAACATTCTTTCTCATTTGACAGGTCATTGTCAGCGACTTTCTATCACAGCTGTTGGTGAGATTTATAGGGTTGTAGTTTCTCAGTGATTTACGTAAGTTAGGCGTATCTATACACCTGTATCGTGACATCAAGTGGGCTATATTTTTATCTCATTAAACAATCAGCTGGCGGCGACTTGAGCACTTCCGACGTGAATTGCGTCACTGGGTAGGAGCTCGTGTACCGCAGACACTCGAATGGTCCGATGTATTGTGTGTTTGTCCTGGGTGCGTTTAGAGATTGTGAACAATAGGCGGTTGCCAAAGTAGTTGGAAGATATCAGGAAGAAGGCTGATAACTGTTAGATTTCACTGAATTTGTGTAAATTGAGTTGAAATTCCAGTATGTCATGTCCAATATTCTTAACGGTCTTATCAGTTCAGTATCACAAAAAGGCTCCGTTATGGACAAGAGTCAAACCCCAGCCGGGAACTCGAACTCAGCCTTCCGCTGACCGGCACGAGTGCGCCTATCCGTTATCAGCCTGTATGAGGCACTTCTCTTTCAAATCTTATCAGGCGATATACCGCCAAGCGTTGCCGTTCATCGGAAACAGAGTCTTGTTGTCAGGATCTCAGATCTATTCTTTTCTGAGCAAATAAAGGTACTGTCCATTTCAAGTTGCTTAGTTGGTAGGAGACTAGTCTGAATGGATAGAAGCCCTGAACTATTCGTCAGCCAGCCTCCTGGTCACATAGGTCCACTTCTGTTGGAAATTGGGTTCGTACATTAGTATGGGTGAAATTACGCTGATCTCCGTACGGCCGCTTGTACTTCAGCCTAGCTATCCTACCGGTATGTTGTCCGAGTCGGAAAGGGTGAGGTTTGAAACCTCTGTCAGATATAGGAATTTGGCCGCAGTTTATGGTTTGGCGCGGCGACGGAAGAGGGGGCATTTTGCACTTTCGCTGCTTCACTAGTGTCGGTTTAGTCTCACTCTGGTGAAAACCTGTAACTATTCATGAAAGCTGTCTTCTCGAGAATAGGCCGTCTATGGGTCGACACGTTGATGTGAAGTACCAAAAGTGAAAATGCTCTCACCCTCCCCTCCCCGTCGCCAAACTGCCCCTAGGAGTTTTGGCTATGCCGCCAACTAAGGTGGAATGTGTAAGTAGCGCCGTGCTGAAAATGGGAAGAATCAGCAATCCGAAGAATTCCTCCTGAGAGCGAACGAACACACCCTCCCTCCGTCCCCTCCACGTCGTTCTCCACAGCGACCAACACTGCGTCATCTGGTGTTGTTTTCACAATGACAGGCGAGGTGATCTAGGAGTGCTTACTCAGTCGATTTTCAGAAAAGTGAAATTCATGGCGCCCTCCCCCTCCCAAAAAAAAAGCCATTTTCGAACCGAAAACATTGAGCTTGGAAGTTTTGTGGCTCACAAACCATCGAAAGCTGAGTTCTAGATTTTTTTTCCCTCATAAGAGCTTAACTTAAGCAACTGCAGACAACTAGAAAAAGGACCCGACGCATCAGGGGGCTGTGTCGTATTCCAATTAATTCATTAGAGGTTCCAAATCCTTTATGTAGCCGGGGCACACACATCAATCGATGCTGTGAAAAGTTTTTTGGCTTACGATCCCCAAACTGAATGCTTTGATGCGCCCCCCCCCGCCATCCACCCATTCCGCAATCTGCCCAACTCATACGCATTTTTCGCGGACTTTTCTAGGAATTCTCGGACAGGTCTGCAATTCTGTAACTGGGATGTTATGTAGATCAGATGAGTTTGAACCCACTCGTTTTCTATAATATTCTTTTGGTGCATTTCTTAGAGCATATAATTGCCTACGACTTACGAAATGAAAAGCTTCATGTGATTTTCAGCATCTGCCTTGAAATCATGTGCTGTGTGTGTGACACCTGGTAACCCGTAAATTCCCTGGCTTTCAGTTGCTTATTGCACTTTCGACATACTATTCATTCCTGCCGTGGGCAGATCTTCCATCACCGATCTCCATCGATCACGTCATTAAATTCCTGGAGGTCGGGACAGGAGCACTTCATCTAGCCGGCACAGCTGATCGCTCGATCACGTAGGCGCCTGCAGTACGGAAGCTGTCACGACGGTCGGGCGACAATTGTGCAATGTTTACGCATTGTTATGAGTGCTTCCGCACATTAGCGTTGATTAGCGCCTTCTCAGCGTTTTGGGATTGGATTTGTCTTTGCTCGAGTGCGCGAGAAGCTGGATGGTCCAGGTGTGGTGGAAAAAAGCTAGCTGACCAATTGCTTATCTCTGTTAATCGTGTGGTTAAAAACCTGGTAAGTTTCTGACGGTAACGCTGTGGCCCAGAGATTCATCTCCATGACCTCAACCTTCCTATTGGAAACGAATTATTAGAAGTTCAAAAGTCAAGGAAGACTGGCCCAATCAAATGGGGGAAAGGAGCCTGTGCTTCAACATCTTGTACCAAAATAGTAGCGGTTGGTCGAGGTCTGCGATTTGGAGATTGTCG